TCCAGTTGACGACCTTGATACCCCAGGATAAATGTTATATTTTTTCTCAGATATAATTTTAATGACATTTCTATCATTTTTGCAAGGGCACCTCTAAGCTCCGCAAACGGCGCCTGTCTCTTCTCTCTCACTCTGGCCTATTTTTCTATCTCTACCATTTACTACTTACTGTCTTGCCTTCAGGTGCTACATCCGCATATTTCAAAGAATGCGTCATCCATTGTGCATTTCATAAGGCAACGCATATCCTTAACCTTTTTTTTTTTACTTTTACTTCAGAAAAAAAAAATTCACATATCGTTGGACATTTACATAATGTTTCTGCTTTGGATCATGTAAAACATGTAAAGCATGCAAGACGCTTTCATTAGCTCAAAGCTCTCAATTTATCAGAAAGATCACTAATATGTTTTTTAATCTGATTTTTCTCATATTAGCTCAATCATTAAGCGAAAAAGGCTGCTAGTGCCAACACACTGCACATCTTCTCTGTTAGCTATGACAGGTACGTGTGACAGGATTGGTAGTCCTAGTAATGGAAGTCTGGGATCCCACATTGTTACCTGTACCGAAAAGCTATTACAGCGTCTTTGTCTGTACAAAGCAATGAGGGCCGGCCTACCTTTCTGTCATACCGTAAACACACTGAAATAACTTAGCTATAGGATGCTTTATCATTATTAATCTTATTATTGTCACTTTTATCATTACTACTACTCGTTTCGTATCACTATTTTTTCTATCACTATTTTTTTTATTATTTAAAGATCTATCATTTCTTTTATTATTACTTTCACTATGATAATCCTAACTACATGTAATACCAGAAGTACTACTATTTAGACAACCATTATTATCAATTTTTTATTTAGTTACTATTACTTTCATTACGCTTATCATTACTGGTAATTTTATTAATTACATACGCACCATTTATTACTTACACACCGGCCCGCCTTGAGCCAAAGGTGCAAGCTAATTAATCTTGATCGCCGCGTTCATTTTTGATACATATTTGGGAAGCGTTGAAGTTGCTGCTTTGCGTTGATATCTGTGCACCTAGCATATTTGCAAAGAGCAGCTCTTTTTTTTTTTCAGTAGAGAACGTGCTGCTGCAGAACAGCATTATATGCCGATTATATATCATTTTGCAACAGAGGACGTATTCACAACACAGTTGTTCCGTCGACTAACAGATCCTCGGATCGAATATGATCAACCAACTAGAAAACTTGCCGCATAACCCCCTCGGGGAAATCTATTAATGTCTGGTAGGGGATTATGCAGCAAGCTTTCAAGTGGATCTCCATGTTTGATCCGCGGATCTGTTAGTTCGCGGATCGACTTTTATTGTAAATGCGGCCATAAGCTTGCGGCAGAAATTGGATAGCGCTACTCCTTCTTTTATTAGGATGCAATATATAATGTTACGCAACACGTTTGGCACGTCGATTGCCTAATACCAAATTTTTTCGAGGCTAAATAAGAGGAATCAGCGCTGCAGGATCCCAGACTATCTGGAGTTTTTACCTACCTGCATTAGGATAAAGATAGAAGCACTCGTTCTCATGTTTTGCAACACAAAATAAATAAATAAATAAATAAATAAATAAATAAACAGCCATTGCCAAAGATGTCAAGCCTATACAAAGGATGATACATGTAGCACATTAAGTGTCCTGCACGACCATGCTGTACACACATTATCCGAAAGTTAAGAAACAGAACAAACTCCAAACTCACTTTTGAGCATTTTTCCCTTTTTTTGTTATCTTTTGTCAAAAAGAAGTATCAAGACATAAACGACTGCATTTCGGAAACGGCAGAGGTCTGCTGATACCAGAAGTATTCCCAAGTAAACTCTGAAACGCAGGGTGTTACGAGAAACGGCAGAAGCGTGCTGACAATAGGGTTATGTCCAAAGTTAACTCTGAAACGCAGGGTATTTCTGGCAACAAGGTACGCGCTAGTAAGTGAGGTTAATCCAAAGAAAACTGAAACAAGACACTTGTTACTGGGAACAAGACACGTACTAGCACGTGAGCTTAGTCCAAACTTTGAAACACGGGGGTTACTTCAAACAACAGAGGCGTACTACACTGTAGTACGTGGGGTTAGTCCCTTACAAACGCAGGGTGTTATATGCAAACTTCGAGTTTAAATTTGGAATCAAAACTCTAGAGTTAACAACATACAATACTTATATAGTTATTTAACTTGTTCAATTTTATTCAATTCAAAGCAAGCGAGTAAATTGAAAATTTTCGTTGCAAACATTTGTCTTTGTGTGTGTGTGTGTGTGTTAGTGTGTGTGTGT